ATTTTTCCTTCTAAATTTAGCGGGAAATTTTCCCCGCTAAATCTAGTGGGGACATTTTCCGCTAGATTTAGCGGAGAAAACTTAAAACTAGATTTAGCGGGAAAAAATTTTCCGCTAAATTTAGTGGGAAAAATTTTACACTAAATTTAGCGGGGAAAATTTTCCACTAGATTAAGCGGGGAAACTTTTCCGCTAGACTTGGCGGGGCAAATTTTTCGATAAACCAAAAATTTTCCGCTAGATTTAGCGGGGAAAACTGTACGGTAGAGTTAGCGGGAAAAATGTTCCGCTAAATTTGGTGGGAAAAATTTTACACTAGATTTCGCGGGGAAAACTTTCGGCTAAACTTAGCGGGGAAAATTTCCGCTAAATCTAGCTGGTAAATTGTTCCGCTAGATTTAGCGGGAAAATTTTTCCGCTAGATTTAGCGGGAAAACTTTTCTACTAGATTTAGCGGGGAAACGTTTCCGCTAGGCTTTCCGGGGCAAATTTTTCGCTAAATCTAGCTGGGAAAAGTTTCCGCTAGATTTAGCGGGGAAAACATTCCGCTAGGTTTAGCGGGAAAAAAGTTTCCGCTAAATTTAGCGGGAAAAATTTTACACTAGATTTAGCGGGGAAACTTTTCTGCTAGACTTAGCGGGGAAAAATTTCCACTAGAATCTGCGGGCAAATTTTTCGTTAAATCTAGCTGGGAAAATTTTTCGATAGATTTAGCAGGAAAAGTTTTTCGCTAGATTTAGCGGGGAAATTTTCCCGCTAAATTTAGCAGGGGAATTTACCCATCATTCACCGCGTGGTTACGCCGACGGCGGCGGCGACGCCGACACCGCTTAAGCCGGAAACGGGTGCCTAAGAGCTGCGCTCTAAAAAGAGTAACCAACATATCAGTTAAGCCTCGTCAATAGTGGGACTAGTAACTCAAAGTAATCACATTAGTGATCAAATTCTCAATTGCCCCCCCAAAATTCTAATTGTACAAACAATTGTTCTAAGTTACCAAATGTGTAAGCAAAACACGACCACTGAACAGCCCCAATGAGTACATATATATATATATATATATATATTGTGGATTAAATTGACTGACCCCGGGATTAAATTGTGTGGCGCTTGGATTAAATTGTATGGCGCTTGAATTAAATTGAGTGACCCCGGGATTAAATTGGTCGTCGCTTGGATTAAAATGAGCGGGAAAACCTGTAGTGTCACGTGAAACAATCATACTTATGCTCGGAATATGTTATAGCCGCGTGATGCGGGATGAGTATCCTTCTGCAGCTGGAACAGCTTCAAGAGCTGCAAGCGCAGACTCAATCCGGCTGTATTTGGCCACTACGACATCCATTCAAAGAGGAGCGCTAATGATACCGAGAGAAAGAGTGCACATTTTAACACTATATACGACATCTGACGCAGTCACATTTGTTGTTCAGAATTGCTTGAGTTATTTCAACTTATTTCATTTTTTTTAATAAACGTTATATCCGTTTGGAACATTTTATCTTGCTCGGACTACTCTCGGAGTTCCACTTACGCGGCCGATATGTTGACGACACTAAGTGAAACGTTTAAACAAAAATTCAAGTCTGAGTTTATACGTGAATTTCGACATATTGCTAATTGTGTTTGGTATTACAGAGGTTCGTGGAACAGGTGCTGAGCCCCATTAATACATGAAGGAGCCGTTGCCCATGGTCTGTCAAGTGTTTGGTGTGGAATGATCTCTCACAGAAGGGGTGTTGAAAACATCTTCATTTTATTCTATTGCGGAGAAATGTTATATAGGGCTGAAAAGCTTTTTAAAACCATGAAAAGAATAAATATCGCTGAGGGGAGACATGTAAATTTACGGCTGGTGCAAACTGTTCAACACCAAAACTTAATTTAAAAACAGGGCTATTATAGATTTACCTCCTTCCGATGTGTACTAATGGATTAGTGATTAACCGCATTGTATTCATCTCTGACAAAAAAAATAATATCGGTACACATTGTTTTAGTAACTTTTGTTTACTTACTTTGATTAAGAAATTATTGATGCAATTTTGTACTTTACGCTTTATTGTAACGTCAAGCAAATGTTCTTTATTAAGATGAATACTGCATTTGTGTATTTTATACGGCTTTCATTGCACCTTGATGATTGCTCGGTGGCTCATTTTAGCACGATCTTTGTGAACAGTAACCCAGCTGTCTGGTTTACACGAATGTTGTTCATTCCGTTCCATACATTTTAATGTGTACGAGAGCCACAGTCTAGTTGTGCCAGGTCAGAGCCCAGCACGCGCATGCTCGCCGCTTCGGAAGGCGAGCAGAGTACGCGCCACACGTACGAACGCTGAAAATGGCGCCGACCAGAAGCAATTGTCTGGAATGGTCTATCACTATTCTCCTAAATTAATCAATCACCAAGGAACATATGCATGTTACAAGAGTAGTTACACGTGCAGGCGTCAGCAACAGTAACCTGTCTACAGAAATTCTAAAACAAATGGCACGTACCTTCAGGTAACACGAGCATGTGGGTTATCTGTACCGGCATGCCGAGAACTTTCCGTAGTGTTTGGGTATTTTTTCAAAGAACGTATTGCGTTACTTTTCGGCCTTTCTTTGCCAGCTTAACTGCCAGCTTGTGATAAAAGTATACCGAATTTGCTAGCGATTTCACGAAACTATAGCGAGCCGTGGCTTGAGCGTACCGAGTTGCAAAAACGATTCTCTAAAACTCCCATTTGCTTCTGTTTTTTACTTTCTCATAATTCGATCAACATGTTAGGCAAAATCCTACTTTGTGCAACTATATATTATTATAGCAGAAACGCCCCTGTTAGGCTCCCTATTGGACGCGAGAAGGCGGAAGCGAGCGTACCCGATTGCCAGCAGTGCGCCTCGCTGCCCGCCGGTGACGTCAAGTTTGGATGACGGGGAGAACTAGGAAAAAACTGGGGAGAACGATGTACTGCTTTTTCCAGCAAACAAAATATAAATTTCTTTATTAACTAAAGGGTGATTCAAGGAGACGCCAGGCTCTTTAACTCGACCGAAAAATTCAGTTTCTTAACTTATCGCGCTACGACTTTGTGCAACGTTGCCCACAGATGGTGCTTTTTTTTTTTTTTTTTGTAAAATTTGCAAAGAGCGAATTTACCTGAGGAAAAAGTAAAGAAAGAAAAACGCTTAGCTCCTATGGAAACGCAGCGAAGTCACCGGTCTTCAAACAACACGGTGCCGTTCCGCACGGGAGGCAAGAGATGGCGCAAGCGGTCGCGACGCCAACTGCCGCCAACGAACGAGCATACGACACCGAGAGCCGGTGTCTTTAGCAGACAAGGAACTGCAGTTCCTTGTTGTTACCGCGCCTGTTTTTGTTTCTGCGACTGTCGGCGCCTGCGGAACGCGCGCCGCTTTTGGGTCGGAAGATCGTCTGCTAAATACGCCGGCTCTCGGCACCGTATGCTCGTTCGTTGGCGGCGTTCGTTGCGCCATCGTTTGCCTCCCGTGCGAAACGGCGCCGTGTTGTTTGAAGACCGATGGCGTCGCTGCGTTTCCATAGGAGCTAAGTCTTTTTCTGTCTTTAGTTTTTCCTCAGGTAAGTTCGCTCTTTGCAAATTTTACAACAAAAAAAATGCACAATCTGTTGGCAACGCTGCACAAAGTCGTAGCCCGATAGGTTAAGAAACTGAAATTTGCGGTCGATTTAAAGAGCCTGGCGTCTCCTTGAATCACCCTGTAGAATAAATCTACAGGAACGAAATAGCATTTCGGAATCAGGAAGCCCTACGCGTTCGGATGATGCCTTTAGATTGAATAGCTGAAAAATCGACGGAGTTTTCCTTTCACTGCACAGCACTCGTCGAACGCGTTAAGGCGCAGAACGCCTCCGTCTAGGTTTAACTCTCGCATTCGAACCCGTTCGAAAAGTCATTCGCATCAGAGTTCGTGGTTTTGATGTCCCCGCGCGTTTTCACCACCTCCTCTCCCTAAAATTCTCGGCGCATTAGAGTAGCACTTTGGTCGGTGCGCGCAGAGGTGGTCTTCGATTGCTGAGTCGCGAACTGTAGAGCCGAGCCCGGAGGCAGTGCAATACCCGTTGGTCGGCGCTCCGGGAGGCTCGAGGCTATACATCACCGCTGAAATGCCGCTATATATTTTCTATTTATTAATGAGAAAGCATTAACTGGGTCTCGAGGAGCGAGCTGACGTCATCAGTTTGAAGCGCAAAAACGGCTCCTAGTTTCCACGATTTCGCCTTCGGTTCCAATGGTGGCGCGCGTCGATGGGGCTCCCATTGGCTGCTGCGCCATGGCCTCCGAGATCCTGAAGCACGCGCGCGCTAGTGCGTAGCAGACGACAAAAGGGGTGGACGAGCAGACGACAAAGGGAGCGGACAAGCGGCTTGCATGCTTTTGTTTTACTATCGTCAATCGCCAATGCCAAACGATCATTTTTGTCTTCGAAGATCAGATGTGCCTCGCGTTTCGAGCTGCACATGTTTTAATTGCCTGTATGACTTTCGAATCAAAAACTTGCGTTTTGAGATTTTTTTTTTCGGTTCGGTTTTTTTTGTATCGGTTTCTCGTGCATTTACCTCGAGTTTAAATGTTTGTTTCCTTCATTTGATTGTGTAACTTACAGAATAAGTGTGTTGCATTATCTCTTTCGTACTTGTGTTTCGTGCAATTAACTCCGCTATTTAAACAATATTTTTTTTAAATTAATTTATGTGTTGTGTTTCACTAGACTCCGCACGTAGACTTCGTCAAGTTTAAAATTTGCAGCCGTGTCGTATTCACAGCCTACTTTTTTTTATCTAGGAGGTACGCGTGTTTATTGTTCTCGCGCGCTATCAACCCTACAGCTCCCTTCCGCTGCTGATACAATATTTCATTGCCTTGTTCTGGTGTAACCGACGCCCACACGAGCAAGCTAGGTCCATCGAGAGTTCCCAAATAGAGATTCCTTCTAAGACAAAAAACAAAAAAAGAAGCAAAGCTGCTTACGGGCCAGCATGTGAAAGGGTCCGATCATGACTTCCCTCAGTGTTCGCTGCGCCGTGATGAGAAATGGATTGTTCGGGTCCTTCTGAAAACAGGTGTCGATTCCGAACGCTGCGCGACCGACGTAGTCCATCGTGAGACTCTGGAACGTCTTCAGCATGTTTATCTCTTTGCCCTGGTCGGCTAACTCGCCCAGGACGTCCATGAAAACGTCGCCACCTTCAGCGATGTGGTCCATCATCTGCGCACACAAAGTCGAAAACAAAACCGACCTTATAAAAAGACACTCTGACTTTAATTTTTTTTCTTTTTTGAAGTCACAATGAATTGTTCGAAAGTCACCAAATATTTGTAACTCCAACGAAATACTCTAAAACTCATTTCATTACTTGGATCCCCCGAGCCGAACATGGAACGCGGTGCTATCGCAATGCTTAAAGGCAAAGAGGGCGACTGTGAGGGGGAAATAACCCTATAAATCTGTTTCCAAAGTGCAGCACCGCGCATATACTAGAACTGCCACTCGGCCTCAGCTTGTGAAGTTTATGCGACGCACTGGGAACGAATGCGCGTAATAATGTACGCATGGTCGAACGACATTAAAGTGTATTTTTTTTTTATCTATATGAACTCACTATGATCTTGGCAATCACAGGCCTCATTCTTCTTAACCCGGAATTTACTATCTCTCAGTTCGATAAAGCTATTCAGAAAGCAGCAGATAAACGTGATTCCAAGACCGACAATTTTTACCCGCCACTTTCCAGGGCGTAGCATACAGCAAAACTTCGAGGTCAAGCTCGCGCTATAATGAACAGAATCCGTTGCGCCATCTTTTTGTATTGTTTGAATGGAGTGAGCATTTCCAACGTTCATTTCACAGCGTCAATCGTCCAAGCAGTCGGAAACTATTTGTGCCGCCCAAAGGTACATCTGTCGTCCGGTTTACAGCAACGTTACTAGAACAACTCCGTTGCGATACTACCATAGAAGCATGATGTTCAAAAGTGCCTTGGAACCGTACGCGAGAACCGAACTGAACGCGATCGCAACGCCGCCATTTCTGCAACAGTGGTGACTCTGGGAATAGCAGGTCTGTACGTATCGGTTCAGGCCGAGTCGCGCAATTACCGGTAACGCCATCTCGCAGTAGCTATATAAGTCAATTTTCATGTTTTCACTCTCCGGTAAAGGGCGGCGCTGTAATCGTTTCCCGTTTGCTCTCGGTGGACGCGAGCGGTCCAGGTTTCAAGGGCGAGTTCCCCAACTGAGTGTTTTATGTCGCATTCGTCTGGGGCGCGCACGGCACCGAGAAAATGTTGCCCCTAAGGCCGCGCCACTGTGTAGGTGCACCACACGACGCACTACCAGGCGAACGCGAAGGATCCTACCGTGCGACGCGCTCGGTGCGGTCACTGCAAGGGCAAAACATGAACGGGTGGACGGTAAAAAATATCCGCAAGAGTGGGGCGGCGGCTGCCGCCGTCTAGCGAAGAATGAAAGTAACAAATTGTCTTTCAGGTGGATGGTTCAAGTATGTACTTGTTAGACCAAAATTCGCCCTCCAACGTAAAAACCGAAACACATGGACTATGAAACAGGGCGTTTACACATACGCGATTTCATTTTCGGACTGGTGACAAGCGATAGGTACACGTCCGGTGTGAAAATCAACAGAGACGAGGGCACGCAGGGGTTAAAAGAAAAACAAGAAATTTACTTAGGCGATAAAAAGCCGCGCACGGCGACAACACGACAAAACCATCAGAACGCAATGCGAACACGCGTTACTCCAACAACACACTCACGAAACTTCGGGCAGCGGGGCCGCGAAAAAAACAAGACAGCACTCAATTCCCGACAGAACGCGAAACAAATCACCGCTCGCGACACAAACTGCAGCCGACAAACAAGTTCGCCGGTGCAAAGAAGACGAAAGTTCCGAAAAAGGAAAGTCCCCACTGCGGGACCCAAAGTCCAGGGAAAAACGAAGTCCGAATGCTCACCGACGTCTTGAATCCGACGAACGACGAAAGCTGCACGTGCCCGGCGTGGTGGACTGGTTGCTCGGCGGCCGACGCAACGCAGCACCGCACACACCAGACATGTACAAATTACTCAAAAAAGGTAGTTAAGTTAAGTTACTGAGTATCGACGCCAAAAGTAATTGGAGTAGAGTAGAAATTACGCATTTGTAATAGTAATTGAGTAAACTACTAACTACTCTAAAAAGTAGCGAGTTACTTTGAAGTTACTTTCGAAGTTACTTTTTTATATTTTTGTGGTAGCAAAAGGAACAGCAGTTTTGATCAATGAAAAACCCTGCGAGCCTAAAATAAATGCAGTCTATTTATAGCTTGCGTTTGCGCCAAAATAATTTATTCGGTCGGAGAAGCAATTGACTTTCAAAGTTCTTGATAGGAGAGTTTTCCCCTTTTCCTTTTAAAGACGTCCCCAGCCGAGGTAAATAGACGTTCCACCATGGCACTGAATAGAACGGCAGCGTTGAATTTGAGAAACAGGCTGTGCAGGGTCGAGTAAGCGAGTGTCGGCATCTTAGGTGTCCATGACGAAACATGTGAGGTTTGCCTCGAGTAGAGGGTCTTTTATAACAAACTTTCCTAGTTTTTCTTTTTTCTTCGTCAAGTTGAGATTGTTATGACTGGCCCCTTTTTATTCCGACGTCGTTCTGAGAGTACGCTGAGCGAGTGCACCAGACCGTCAAGGGTTCAAGTCTCGCGCCACGACGATGAGATCATCAGGACGACTGCGCGTCCCGTTGTAGTGCTAGTGCTACGCTACTGAAAAAATAAATGTTTTGGTTTAACCGAAGATGAATCGAAGTATACTTCGCCGCTGACGCCGGGTCCAACAAAAGGATCTCCCAAGGGTAACTCGCAATCCTCGCCGGCGACTGCAATATTCTGACGCTCCTGACACGCCTGACAAGTAAATCGTTTTTAACGAAGAGGAGGTCTCCCAGGCATGGATGGTCGGAAGGACACGAAGGATTACGTGAACAAGCATCGTCGCTCGTATACAGTTACAGCTGGAAGCAGGAACGTGCTCCCATGAACAGATTATCCGTGCCAGGGTTTGTGCGCGGGGGAGTCCGGCTTTGCAAAGGCGTATGCGCTGACGACAACGCGACCATGGGAACAGGCGCCCAGCTGCGAGGTCATTCCAGTGGCGCCTCCCGTGGAACCTACCGCTTGAGTCAGAACTCTCTAAAGACAGACAACAACTCTCGGAGTGTCCCCGTCTTTCACGGTTGCAGCTGGAGACGCGGCGCCTGCGTGCATTACCGGATTAGGTCAATACCCGACCAAGGCTTGTTAAGCATCTCTTCCTGCGTTCGTGCGTGCCGGTGTTATGTTTTGGCTGCTCGTCGCCACCTTGACCCAAGGACGCCTTCCCGAACAAGGGGGCCCCTTGTTAGGGAATGCCACCTCATCTGCCGGCGTCTTATTCATTTCTGCGCTCAAACTTTCGTGATGGGAAAAATTAGCACTATATAATTTCGAAAGTAGTTAGTAATTTGAGTAGAAGTTACCTGAAAAAAGTAGTTAAATTAAACTACTAATTACCTAAATCAAGTTGTAATTGAAAGTTACCAAGTTACTCGAAAAAGTAGTTAAACTACAGTAGTTTGAGTAGTGTAGTTGAACTACGTCCAAGTCTGGCACACACACACTTCCCGAAAAGGGAAAAACCGACGCCCGTCGTCACTGCTGGAATCGTAGCCAGAGCAGAGGGCTTGAGGGAAAGAAGATAGCGGCGCCGGCATCACGTTCTCTCGAGCTGCGTGCCGCCATGTTTCGCGAGACGAGACCGACGACGAGGCGAGAGAGAGAGAGAGAGGAGGTGCCGAAGGAGGCGGAGAGCGTTAACTCAAGGTCGCAGTGCGCGGACCTGCATGGCCTCCTTCCGACGGTGCAGCTGGTGCAGCAACGCACCGGTGCCGCGCGCCGCATGAAGTCCCAGGCGAACGTAGTGCAGCCGCACCGACACGACCAAGCGAACGTGACGCGGCCGTCGGTGCAGCGCGGTGCGGTGCGGTGCGCCCCAGTTGAATGTGCCATTAGTAACGTTGGTTTACAGACATGCGCACGTCAAGATTGCGAGAGCTACCCGTGAGATGGCGCCGGTGTGCTAGTGTGTTAAGTGGTTGCAAGAGAACAAAATACACCCGAGCACACTCAAACGCTAATCTGTGAAGCTGCATCAGGCGTGCGTGCCTTCCCTTCAGCTGTTGTTTTTTCCCCTTGCTTTTTGTCAGAAATTTACATTGAACAATGTCATCCTGCCAGCTTAGCCAACGCGAATATCTTAAATGAGTGTGAAGACGCGGAATCGAAACGCAGCCTAAATGTATCGTTTTTGCCTTCTCCATAAAATGTATCACCATTGTCCACAACTAAAGAACGCTTTGTTCTCGCCCCCGATAGAACATCATCCGGCCTGAATAACTCTTGTGCAGTTAAACGAATTTCCTTCAAAACTAACGCGTTCAACGAATCATCCCTCCCATTTGCCATCACAGAATGGAACAAAAAGTACGGGCGCAAACGAGCTGGTGTACATTGCACATGGTTGAAAAAAACCCGAGACTGCGGGTAAACGACACAACACTAAAAAGTCTCTATTGCGGGTAAACGACACAACACTAAAAAGTCTCTAGAGACTTTTTAGTGTTGTGTCGTTTACCCGCAGTCCCGGGGTTTTTTCAACCACATACAGAATGGAACCAGGTCCTTCCTCCATCGTTCGCACCACTGATGCCACAGTGTTTTACGATCTCTTGCCTATTATAGATAACTTATCCTGTTTTTATTTTTTGTGTGTTCTACTATTGTTATATTATTGCGTCTGCTATTTCATTCATCGTTAAACTGCCCCCCCCCCCACCACTTTATGTAAAGCCCTAACCAGGCCTTTAAGGTAGAAATAAATAAAATATGAAATGAAATGAAATTTTACGGCGCTCGCTAGGGCCGCTGCGCAAAACTTGATAAAAACAAGCTTACATAGAGTCGATCGACCCAACTCTTACCTGCTTGAGCTTCAGCCTGGTGAAACTTGACGTGACGCAGGAGCGCATGCTCTTCCACTCGGAGCCCTTCGTGTGAATCAAACCTCGGCCAACAATTGGGTGCATCTCGTCGGTTCTCATAGTAACCTGGGTGAAAACGTAATGAGTTTACCTTTCGGGGCCGAATGAAGAGATCTGGAATACGTCGAATGCATAAATGTGGCACGATTTCCCCCCCTTCTTCAGCATTTCCCCTCTCCTCCATGTCTTTCCACGAAATGTCGGATTTTGAACCATGTAAGCAACCATATAAATTTGAGCGGACTTCTGTTTTTTAGTAATACACTATTTTCGTCGCGTCTCCCAAAAAAATATTTAAAAAAAATTATATTTTAAGCCAGAAGACACAATGCTATTCTACGCCGATGGTAATCAGACGACTGCTAAAAATTAAAACAAAAATAATTACTTGGCTCATTTTCATATTGTAATATCGTGCTTAATGTTCTACTGCCTATGAATAAAATCGCAAGGGCAGGCGGCTGAATTACGCTACCTTAGATGTCCTTTTCACCAAAACAAAAATAGTTATGCGCGAGTGTTGCACCTTTCGGCTGCTGAAGTTGTTCGGCATTACAAAACACACTCTGGACAAACCATAACCAAACTGTAATTTCTTAGTTCACTGACAACTATAGCTGCTCTCGCCACGAACTAATGTGCAGAAACTTCACATTCTGCGAATCTGGTTTTTATTTGCAAGCGCAGTGCCCCACATCTTTTCCCAGCAAACGCTGCCTTGTTCATGAACAAGTGCGTGCTTCTGAATAGCCAACGCCACGGGCAGCCGCCAGCTTCAATCACGTCATCTACTTTGACAGCTTAGCAAACACGTGGCGTATTGCTCCGATCTCCTGCCCATTCTAGTGACCCAAGAAACGTGCACTGGCACGCACGTCGGGGCAAATACACCACGTGGTTCGAAGGTGACCAGCAATTTGACCCGTCAGCCCGCACCTTCGACGAATGCCAGTCTTGGAGTAAAATGAAATATGGCTTTTCATTACTATTGAATAGGAACCGTCCCCTCAGTTGGCAAGTCGGTGTAAACAGTGATTTAATTTTTTTAACTTAATCTGTCGCTCACCTAGAACGGATTATAATAACCTTTCAGTCTAATGCCAGAAAATATGTGCAGGGTGCCCCCCGAAAAATGTAGTTTTTTTTTTACCGTATAAATAAACTAGGCATCGCCGAACGCTCATTTTCCGACCAAAATGTAGGGCTAGAGGTTACAACCAGATTCCAAAGTTTCAGCCCGATCTGATACTTTATTCAAAAGTTATAAGTGTATTTCTGAAAAGTTCATTAGGAAAAGGGCAGCCGACGGAGTTTTCAAATACAAGGGGCTCTATAAAACCAGAAACCGAAAATGGGTGAAGATGGGCTTCATTTTCCTATTGAAATTTTCAGAAAATCACTTATAACTTTTGAGGGCTGAAACTCTGGCATCTGGTTGTGACCTCTAGTGCGACTTTTGGGTGAAAAAATGATCGTTAGGCAATGCGTAGTTTATTTTTGCGGTGAAAAAAAGAACCTGTGAAATATTTTCTTCTTACACCCTGTGTGTCATGGCCGACGAAACAGCTAACACGTTTACGCCATCGTGAGGAGCCCAAAAATTTTAAGTTTAGTTCGTGTCTCGGTATCATTGGGCAAACGTGAAAGGTCGTAACTAGATTTTATTGCTGTCTCTACCATTTATGTGCACCCTAACAACATTTCTGACATCAATTTCGTCAAACAGAAAAAAAAAAACATTAATAAAATTGCATTGCAAGGTAACCTCGTCATCAGGACATCGCAAACAATAAAATCCAACTGGTGCATAAAAATTTAAGGAATTAAAACTTTAAATTTTCTGGGCGAAACAAAAACAACTCTGCATATTTGCATCAACCTTGACTTGGTCAAAATTATGGCGGCTGCAAACGCTTTGCAACTACTATAGCACTAGACTATCTGCACAGTGGATCTATGACGTGGACTTTTGCATTCCATTTTCTGGAACTGAATCCAAATTTATTTACTGTAGCCAAGCTATAGTTATGAGCGACCGTACTCCTTGAATTTCTGTCTTCTTTTTAGCGCTTCATGAATGATTTCCCGAGATGTACGAACGCGCGAAACTGCACAAAGACTGCCACAGAAAACGTTAGTTAAACAAATTCGCCATAAATATACACTTACTCTCTCAGTTATTAAAATTAAAAAGGTAATAATAGGTATTTCAGTTATTGCCAAAAGTAACACTTACGCCACGGCCAGTAAAGTTGGAGAAGTTTTTGACAAAGACGTACTTCTGAAACTCAAGGTCACGCACCACGAGCATTGGAACATCTCCATTGTAGAAGCTGTAAGAACATTGACAAAGAATAAAAAAAAGGTATGTATGTGCGTAGCTTGGCAATGGGCAAAGTTTGAGACAAAATTTGTCTTCCTTTGTAATCATCATGATCTGTTTATTTTGTGTAATCATGAACATCTAGATGCCCGCTTATGATTACGGTTCCCCGTTTTTGGAGCTCATTTTTCTTAGAATTTGGGGGTGTTTTATCCAGCATTTTTTATCGCAGCTTGGGTGTTTCTTTGTATAAATCATCGAAGACGGAGAACGATAAGGATTTGTCGATGCTTCTGATGAAAACAATAGGGCAGAGGCGTGGGATTCACCGGCTTCTGAGGAACATAACGCGCGATAAAAACACTTAAACAACGCCCCGTACCGTAAAAAAATAGAAACGAAACAAAGTGTGTGATTCCAAAGACAGAAGCAGCCTCACATACAGTTCATGGGGGGAGTTATTCCAAATCAGCAAAACAAAGATGCAGATGATAATTTTCTTTTCGTAAAGCTTTCGATTGTTTTTATTGATAAGAACTCAAATCGAGGTTTTTCAGTTTTTATCTATTTTAATAAAACTGGCTCGGAGCCTCGGGGTATAATTTTCGAGGTTTATCTGTATTGACCGGAAACACGAAACCCTAATTATGATACACATAAAAAGCATTACAAGAATCGGTTGTCCAAAAGGTTCACAGATATTTTGTTATAAAATATATAACTGCACTTTAAGCAATTGGTTTAAAACGGTCTTAGTTACTAAGAAAAAAAAACTACATGGGCATAGTTTATCAATTATTACAGCCGCTTAAACGTGCACTTTTATTTAAATGGAAATGAAAGATCGTATTTATGTACGAATGACTCAGTTCGAAACATGGGAATGCTTTATGGCAGAAATTGCTCTGTGCTAAAAATGGAAACGGATGTAAAGAATAGTCAAAACCTGAATTAAGATAGATCTGTTTAAAATTAGGGCAACGTAAACGTTTGAATTTAAGGTAAATATTTTGAAAACATATTTCCTCCTCAAGTTTTAATAGTTGATAACAGTGAGGCTTACCCGAATATGTCACCATATTGCTTGCACCATTTTTTCACAGCCTGTATTAACTCCTGTTGGGAACAACTATGCCAAATAAGTCAATACGCACTGCAGAGATCGTTTTATAAAATCTTTTGCAAAATCAAGTGGTCTTTTTAAGTTAATACTTCAAAACGCATACCATTCACTCCTTTTGAAGAAGAGGATTGACAAATCATTTCCAGGAGATACAAAAATTCAGAACAAAAAATTATGTATCGTAACATGTGATGACACCCTCTTAGTAGTGTCCATGTACACGTGCTATCTGGCGAAGGAACTCTCAACAGCTAACAATGTCATAGGAGTATTATAATTAATTTTTAATATTCGATTAAGTACAGGTTGCAACTTTCCTGATGAGTTATATTTTAATGCAGTACACAGCTAAAAAAGTTTTCAAGCTATCGGAACCTCAACGTTCAACATGATACATCAGATACATACATGGTAAACCAGGGATGGGCAAAATACATGCAAATATGTATCAAAATACAAATACAAAATACTTCGTCAAAATGTATTTAATTACAAATCTAATTACATTTCCAAAAAAGTATTTAAATACAAGATACAAATACAACCAAATGTATTTGGTCTCCTCCAAATACTTTTCCAAATACATTCCTCAAAATTTGCGTCAGCGACTTCAAGGCACTTGCAACGGGTTTCTGGGTATCTCATTTTAATTTTGCATCGCAAACTCGGGAGTTAGTGTGCGAGGCTCTAGCAACGTAATAGAAATATAATCACAAAACATGTAATCAGCTTGGACATAATAGGTGAAAAAAGTACAGAGCTTCAAGCAGCTTTTTTTGTCGATTACATTTTGGTATAGACCAGCAAAGAACCGAGACGACCAAGACGCGCAGCACTAGCTAGAGAATTTTTAATTGTTGCAACTCGCACCAGTTACGAAAATCTGGACGACCCGCGCATTTAGAATGTTTCAGGCAAAAATATGGATGGAAATCAGGCTGGAAAGCACCACACGTTGTCACAGGCACTTATTTAGCCAGTCTGCCTGTGAACGTTGATTTCGTCACTATTCTTGCCCTGGACTAGCACCGTAATCACAAAGTCACTAAACGCTTGTGCTTGATTGAGAGACACTGCATTCGGTGCAGAGCGTAGTTTTCTTCCTGCTCTGGACCGTGACAATAAGTTTGAGGGATGTAATTTCGCTTACAAAATTGTATTTAATTACAATTGTATCTGAAATACCCACGTACACACGTGAAATACATTACCCAATTTGTAATTAAATACAAATGCAAAATACACACAGTATTTGAAATACGTATTTCACATACTTGTATTTGAAATACTGCCCATCCCTGTGGTAACAGACATATGCTTGAACACGTCAAATTACCTAGTTACACTCACCAATAAAGCGTACCTTCCTTTATTATTACATACCACAGCGTAAGACAATTACTTAAATATATGCTTGCAAAGTTTCATGCAGTTCGAAAATTATAATATCATGAACTCTTCTATTAAATATACTATTTAATATTTTAACACGTTGTTACTAAAGAAAAAAATTATTACAACGTAATACAACTCACGAGATATCGTTCTAATATACAATTAGTAAGAGATTCATATTTCGAAAAGAAAATTTAAAAAAAATCGTTTTAAGCACTAGATTTTTGGTCATGTCAAACATACGCATCGATACGAAATAATAAAAATAAAAAATGTAGAAACCTCAACTTTAATTGAATGCGAGACCATATCTTGGCGTATAAGTCTGTGCAAATCACCGAAGGTAAGTCAAGAATGCAGACGTCTCTGCAACAGGTCTAAGCTAACCATGAGGTAATAGAATGACAGCCAGCAGGTGTGGACATGGCCTTTCTTTTCTACCTTTTGAGGCTTAAATTTTAACATATTTGTTCTCACAGCTTTCAGTATTGTTAATAGCTCATAGCTTACAATACATGGCCACAATCACCTTTTCATGGTATTCCCTCAGGTTTCCCCAAAGCAGGTTTGGTTTAGGTCCAGGAATTCCAATGTCTTTGAAGTAAGAAAAGGTTTTCTGTCTCCATCTGTGGAACGAACACGTAATACATAATTTAGAGTCTGTCCTGTGTTGTTCTTGATTTTATTATTTTCCAATATGGCGCTGTTCAGACATTGAAAACGAGAGTGTATATTGATGATTGCTTGTCAGCGCGGCAGGAGAATACTCGAGAGAGTTTACAATCACAGATATCAACTTTTATTTTGTATTCTTATCTGTTTTATTTTGGTAACATACTTTTTAAGGGCGCCAAAAGCACCTCTGGTGAACGTTTCTTAAAAGACGGGTCAAGCGTTCCGTGAAAAAGCACACGAAAATATTTCAGCATGTGTGCGTTTCTGGACTTTTTAAAAGACCAATTAGCTATTCGAGGGTGCACAAATACTTTCACGTATTTCTGCAGATTAGTGATACTAAAATTATTGCACATTTTAAACTATTATCTTGGTGAGTATCGTACTTGTTTTTTATTATATTGATTTTACATGAAGGTAGAGCAAGCGCGTTTATACAAATTCTGAATAAGCTACGCCTACAAACATTTTTATTAATACATTATTTAAACTAAAACTATTACTCAACGGCAACTAAATAGACTGCCTAATCATTAAACATAACAAAAATTACCATCGACTTTTATCTCACAAGAATTTAAAACCGCTAAGGAGAGCCATTTTAGTTTATTGGGATATGGACCGAAATCTATGTTAGACGAGGCTACATAAATATTCATACAGTGATAATTATTTCAAAATGGTTGTCCCACATTAAAACCTGCTGTAATGTACTGCCAATGTGAATCTCCTTCATTACGTAAAATTCTATAATTCTAAATTATTCCCAAACTAAGTAACATTCATACGAATTTCAACCACACATTTCCTACCTTCGTTTTTTTCTTTTTTTTTTCGTTACTCTAGAATCATTACCACTAGACTGCAGTGCCACACGTTTTTGCCCGTAGCAACGAATATACTTAAAAAAAGTTACCAAAGCAACCGCAGCATGTAAAAAAGGCTGCTGCCAAAAGTCAGCAATACACACTGTACGAATAATAAGGTTCGCCGTCTACTCACAAGTGTTTTTTTTTAATTAACACAACGGAAAGTATTAATAGCATTGCTTCCTCCGTTATAATTGCTAAATCCTACGACCTGATTAAATATTACCAGCAAAAGAAGTTGCTCATTTACAATTTGACTTATAGGCCGACGAGTGCTGAAAGATGGCACTGACCCTCGCTCAATAATTGAATAGCGATTGATAAAACCCACATTTGAAGAAGTCAAGTCTCCGCTCATTGTTCCGAGGATTACACATATATTTAATATCAAACTTGTTGCATTTGCACATGTTAACCAATTTATATATTTTTCTTAAACCGACATATTGTCAAATGATTTTTCCGGTCTTGTCAAACATTTCGTAAGTCAATAATAACTACTCACCAAATTTATTTGAGAGATTTCTGATCAATCAATGTTTTCAGTCTGTCAAACAATTTTCGTTTTAACTGAAGCACCGTCGAAGCGCAACAGGGCTAGCACGAACAATCAGTCGCATATCTTTTTGTCTGCTGCCGAAATCACGGGAGCTCTTGAATACACTCATTTTGTGCACAAAGTTGGAACACACACTTTTGTCTTAACAAACACCATTCCAACGCAAAATTCCAAACAACGGTGCTGTATTCTCACAAAACGTTTAGTACGGTGTCCATCGCTTTACCACGTCGATATAACTTATTTTGTTCTAGCGCGGAGGACTACTTTATGTGCCTCAGCGCTATTTTAGTGCTTAACAGAACTGAAGCTCTAAGAATAGTTTTCAGTTACTGAAATATTGACTGAAATTTTTATTTTAAAATAAATAAGTTGTAAGTTGTAAATACATCGAGGCCACGAAGTAGAAGTATTATCATACTCGTCATAATGAACAGCAGCATCACATATATCTTGTGCCAAAAAGCTATTCCTATTGTTGCGTTCATCTTTGTTGACATACCTGCATAATGATTTATTGTTTCTTCGCAATGTTGAATAAATGATCGTGTCCGAAGCCTTGTGAGCATTCTTTCAAACTTCAGCGCAGTTATACATTCAGAAAATAAGTCATTCCTTACTATATAAAATGCGACCACCGTATGCGTGTTTTGTTTTATTTTGCTGCAATATTTAAGCTAATGAATATACAATTTAAACTTTCTAATATTTTAAACATTCACTTCCTATAAGCCACAGTTATTTTTATGGACCTGTATCGACTTCGAAAATTATCAAGCATATCATTTTAATATCACTACAACACTCATATTTTGGTACAATCTTTCCAAATGTTAAGCAAATTATTTTGGTAGCTAATTTATTTAGGCAATTCAAAATATACTTTTAAGCACTAATAACCAAAACAATTTAACAAGCCATTCATATTTAATGCAATTGAAAACAGTTTTAACAATGCGTGTTGCATGTCTATCCTCGCCGCGCTACCAAGAACGATGACTATCACTTTTATTACATTGCAGAAAAAAAATACAAGCCCGCCGATCTGAGGATGCATTTAACTATTTCAACTCATAATTTTTGCCTTCGATGGTGCAGACACAACACATAGGGTATGCATGAAAAACATACAATGTTTTTGTCACCGCAAAGGAAAAGCTACACATCAATGAATGCTCAGCCTCCGCCTACGTGTAGTGCTAGCAGTACGGACCAGATTTCCCAAAGTTTCAAACTAACATGTTATCTTATTCAAAAGTCAGAGGCTATTTTCAGACATTTTCGATGGAAAATGGGGGACGACAATGTCCACCAATGCAACGAGCTGAATGTCGTCAGCTGCTGGGATCACGCCCCTTCTTCCCAATAAAGTTTCACAAAAACCATTTGTAAAGCTTGACCAAGGTAACGGCTGGTTTTGAAACTTTGGCGGCTGATCCGGAGCGCCAGCTGCTTTATTTGGGCAGAGACTGAAGTTTGATATGCGTAGTTTATATTGGGCGGTGAAGAAAAAAAAACATTTAATTCTGGGATACGCTGTACTTCTCTAAGAGTAACAACTCACCTTAAGAGCTTGATTCCCAGAATGATCAGTACGGTAAACAAGGCAACGATGACCAGCATCTCTGTTTTTTGTCTTTTTTCGGGAACACACCAGCGTTTATGATGAACACTCCAAGTGCGTCATTCGATTTCGTTACAAGCCTAAGAGATACACAATATAGTGACAACTGAAGGAGACTCTTACACTGATATCTTATCACCGCGAGCATTTCTCCAGCTTAATCTCTAATCGTACTTAGGGTTGATCTTGGCACAAAGATGTTTCCTGCGCCGTCGAGAATGATAAAACACCACTCGAAGAGGTTGACATTATTGTTCTGCCTGATAGTCACATTGTGCATGACCGACGGGCTTCGATTGGAAAGGGCCCCTTCTGACGTTAGGCCTTCCCTCCGCATTTTAAATACTTCTTGAGTGTTTGTAAACTCTGGGTAAAAAATCTGAGAACTATGTGTGTCGGCTTCCTCTTATGAGTCTTCTCAAAGTTCCGAAATCATTGGTAAAATCCAGCATAACTGCTTCCTATAAATATTTAGAGAATAATTTATGTCAAATTGCTAAACAATGGTGTTGCATAAGCCAAAGCTTCTATCATCACCGACGTCTACGTTCACGGCGCTCTTCATCAGATAGTTCAACGTGTACCATGCGCAGACTTGGCAGTGGTTCTTAGAATGAACCGAAACTACCACTAATTGGGCAGATAAACAGGGTTCTCTTCCAGAACTTTCCATACTCACGAGGTCCTCTCCCTCAGTGTGCACGGGTGGTCGAGCTCCTACTCGCCTACCCTTCTGGTAACATAACCTCCCTGTTAACCAATCAGCGTCGAGCACCTTACTCCTCCTTTCCCATCCGCCAATCAATCATGGTAGAATCTCGCTGCCGCGCTTTGTATTGGGCTTCAGGAAGGAGTGGCACCCAGTTGGTCGAACGATGTTTAACAAAGACTGATTTTTCATCGAATCACACTTTAGCGAATGGCGGGCGAAGTGGGTAAACGGATTGAGCCGCCGCAGGCTGCCTATGCGGGGGGAGGGGTGGGGGGAGGGGGGGAAGGAGGGGGGGAGTAAGGGTTTGCAGGCGCCCTTGTTTTTGGCTAAAACGTAGATGTGCTCAAATGGCACTCATCGCTAAAACGTCCTCTGCGAATGTGATATAAACCCTTAGGAAAAGCCGAACAGCTAGCCAAAGAACTTTTTCAAAATAAAAATGATTTGCTGTGAGTCTCAATTATAGAGAAAATATGAGCGCTTTTATGGACAAAGCAAAAGGGGAATCTGGCGGTGGCTATATTTCTACTTTTGTGAACAAGAGCCAGCAAATGCAAGCCTGCCAAAGCTATCTTCACGCGCGTGCCGCACGCGCTTCCGCTCATGGGGCACCAGTCGGGATGCAATGCTTGCAAATGTCTATATGTCACGCCCAACTGCGCTGAGAAGCAGCCTCAGTGCACCCAACAAACTTCTTCGCAGCCATCTGTGTGTGCTAAAAAATAGGTAAGTTTCTTATTTTTATCGTCATTGATTTTCCTAATGATTTCAAATATCCCCTTATGTCCCGCAGAGATTTGCTTAGCTCAGATCGTTTTTTTTTACTCCTTTGTATTATACGAGTTATGGAAAGCGAGAGCATTCTTCTTATGAACCACGCTTATTGAATTGGCTCCCTGAATAAATCTACTACTATGAAACATTTTAAAAAAGTGTTACCCAATTTTGCACTTTCATTACGTTGTACGGTTTTTCTTTTCATTAGTCTTCTAAGTATTTTATTATTGTGTTACTTTGACTGATTACTTGACTCTTTTACGTTACCCTCATATTTTCTTGATTACTGTTGGGTTCGGAGGACTTATTTGCCGTCTTTGTCAAATCATTTGTTGGGTCCTGTCCCTCTAGCCTTCACGGATAAATTGGAATGCTTCAAGCAAATTCCTTCATATGTATTAAACCGGCTCATGAGTTCCGAGATATTTGTTTTCCTTCTGAACTAAAACTGCTATGTTAGACCACTTTACAAAGGAGGTGTGCGAGGCAGGTAAGATGCAGAGCAGTAGAGGATATGATTGCTCGGGGACGACTCGCCAAGCCGTGTGTTTTTTTTGTTGTTGTTGTTGTTGTTTTTTTTTTTAAAGCCTTCAGTAGCTTGTTAGACTAATAAGACTAAGCCATACTAGACGAAAACGAAAATAATAAAAATTTAACAAAGGTAATGAATTTGAACTATATACAAAACACGCTACTTTCTTAGAACGGCCTCGGCTAGAAATAGAAACATTTCTTCTTTTTTTTTTTTTTTTTTCAACACCAGTCACTTTCTTCACATTCTTCCTTCTTGTTGTATATAAAACCGTCAGTTGTGAGTTAGCGCCTGTCCTGTCCACTTCTTCGTCTGTCCTTGTCTTAGCGCTATTTGTGATTTAGTATGTATAACCAACTAGCCCGCCAGAATATTTTGGTACATTTCTGTCAACATCCGCGGGCACATTCTTTCCCTGATCTTAGCGCATAACAGCTTCGCTGTAAAAATTTTAAGAACTAGGGTACTTTTTTCCAGCATATAAGCCTTGACCAAAACGTGTTTATTCTAGACAAAATGCGTTACAGGTATGGTTTTGACCTTTTAAATACTGCTTTTATTAAAATATTACATACGAAGAGACAGCTAATTTTAACGGTAAAACATTATATTTCTCAATTCGAATATATGTGCATTCGTGAAAAACAATCTAGGACACACCAAACATATATGCAGTTCGCAGAGGCGCACAAAAAATGCATTTTGTATATAAATCTGACTTCATGTGTTGGGTAGGGCGCTTGCTATTAGTGGGCGCAGTACAGACCGGTTTTTAGAGATGACCGATAATCCGGTTATTAGAATTAGCAAATATTCGAATTTGAAAACGGGAAAACCGGTTATTTGAATAACCCGTTACGTTATTCGGTTATTAAATATCCGCATATTTGAATATTTAAGTATAAATTATTTTGTACCGGAATCGCTACAAAAAAGTCGGCACAAAAGCGCACTCTGTTGTACGATCTCGTCGCCATATGCCCAGAAATTGGTACAAATGAAATAAGAGCTTTATTATAATTTACATTAGATAAAACCGAATAATCCGGATAACCGTATAAGAGGTATCGGAATATTCGTATTCAGAAATCCAAATAACCGGAAAACCGGCTTTGATAGCCGAATTCGCCTTCCTCCGGATTAACCGGATATCCGGTTCGACAAGTAGTTGCATGCTCTCCTTACTATATTTTCGTCGCTTCGCAAATGAGGGTCCATACCCTGCACGCGATGTCAGCGAACCAAGTTGAAGCATATTCTTCATTGTTACTGCTGACAAAACCAAACTCGGTGGTTCAAAATATACTCTGCACAACTTGCTCGCTTACGGCACCGCTGCAACAACTACCGCTGATGTGAAGCTAATACAAGCGATGTATAGATAAATTCCATTTTCCGAAAGAAAACTAGTCCACATACCTGGAACGTTGATTGCTCACGATTAGTCGAGGTCTTGCTTTGGCGTTACCGGAACGATTGGCGTCAGGAAATGCACCGAACGACGTAGAAGCGTTGTCGATTCTGCGAAGAGCTTAGTGTGCATGCACACTATCCCCTCTTAGACACGAAATGGGATATCAGGCTTATCAGCGCGTAGACGTCCACAAAAACAAAACAAAAACTATTGAGTTCTATCTTGATTAGAACAAAGTGCACTTGGAGGGTACTCACTAGATTGTGATCGAGTAGACATTATAGCCTTTATCTAAGGTCGTCCATAAAGTGTTGCCTTCGAAAATGACAACCTCGCGTCAACGGAGTCACGGAACTCGCATACACTGACACCTCCTGATAACAAGGACTGTTTACGTTTCCTTCTGGAGGCCAACGCAGAACCGGCAGAAAACGACTGATATGTTGGCGTGCGGTTGGGTATCGTGATCAACCTGCAAAGAACGCGAGGCCCCAACCATACGCTGATGGAGCAGCCTTCTGTAATCTGTGCCCAGCGGTGGCTTTCAGCACGTGGCGTAAATAATTCAGCATTGCGGCCTTATAAGCTAAGAGGTGCCGATAAACGTGAACCGCGTTTAATGAACAATTTTCGTTAAAATCGTTTAAAATGTTTTTTTTTTTTTTTTTTTTATTTTTAGAGGGCAACTTCGGTAAAGTCCCAGGCAGCACAAGGTGTTGGGCAAGTATTGGAAGAGCATTGGCAAAAAAAGGTCCAATGATGACCCACTTTAGCCAATCTGCTTCCAATATTTACTATACCATTATATAGAATCTTCAGTGATGGCCCAGATTCTCCAATGACCAACCAATATTGGAAGCACGTTGGCATAAAATGGGCAATCTTGGCCTGTCAGTTCCATTCGCTAGCGAATATTGGATGAACAGTGGCGTAAACCGGACAATGTTCGGCTGTCAGTTCCATTGGCCTGCGAATATTGGATGAACACTGGTATAAAATGGGCCATATTGGCCTGTCAGTTCCATTGGCTTGCGAATATTGGATAAATACTTGCGTAAGCCGGACAATGCTGGCCTTTGAGTGCCGTTGGCTTGCTAACATTGGATGAATACTGGAATAAAATGCTCAACGTCGGCCTGTCCGTGCTGTTGGCATTCCAATATTTGATGGGGACTGTTATAAATGAACACTGTTGGCTTGGCAATGTTCGATAAACACGAGCTTATAATGGTTACTGTTGTCCTGTTGGTACCATTGGCTCATCTTCATTTCAAGAACACAGTGGCATATAATGGTCGGTGTGTGTTAGTCTGACAATACCGTTGGCGTAATAGTAGAAGCGTGTTGGAATAGGCTTGTTTAGGCGTGTTCGTTTTACCTGAACAAGTTGAAATTGCTCGACCGCGTGTAAATTTTACGTTATTTCTTCAAAGCGCGATTCAGGTGTTTTTTTTTTTTTTGCAAAGTAAACAAAACAATAACAAAGTACAGAACTTAATGGCGAAGTTTTGCTCCTTCACTGTGCATATTAAAGGGGCTGTGCAACGATATTCAATTGGAATGTTTTTCTCTCTACACGAGCTTACTGGCACACCTGGGACTCAAGGATACTCACACGCAACGTCGTTGGCCAAGAAACTCCTTTGTTGCGGTGTAATTTCAAGGACAAAAACGATCATTTTCATTCAATCTCTCCTTTGCAAAATTTGATGACGTAACTCGGGGATCGCAGTACACCCAAGTGACGATATTTGAATGCGGTTCATAGATTGGACCCGAGCATTGCGTGGGCACTCGACTTGGGCTCGTGACAATTGCTAGCTCGAGAAGCATTCGGGTTGTGACCCGTGTCCAATCGCTGCAACGACGACAACAGCCGAGCCATAACAATGTCTGGAACTCAGCGCGTGTCCTGCGCTTTGCCAACCCCAGCGCGTGGCTATGATCAACACTGGCGGCATATAATCGGCTCCAGATCACGTGGCCGCTTGTTCTGGCTGCGAGTTGAGGGGGTGAACGCTGCTCGTTTTTCTTAATTTTTTTCTGGGACTTCTATTGCGTGGGGTGAAAAACGAACGCGTGTTTCATAGGTCATTAACTTTAGGGATCCGTTTTAAGCGGTATTTGTGCACAGTACAAAAATGGTTGCACAGCTCCTTTAAGGAGTCGCCAGCGATATGGGCTCATCAGGACCGCCAACTAAAAAAGAAAAAAAAGAAAAACGATGTCCGGGTTATAGAGTAAACATAATAGATCATTATGTTGACTCTATGATCTCGACGGAGAAGCTTCGTACCCTAACTACGGGCTTGGGGACTGCACCTCGTGTCCGGTGAAAAACTTCTTTGGTATTGACTCGAACGAGACACGTACTATTCTGAAATGTGGTTATACATTGACGGCTCTATGACTTTACGGCACTACTGGTGCCACAATAAGAGCCAGAATGCCTCCTACATGGCGCCAAGGCACTGATAGCAGACGACAATGTTGGTCTTGATTTAGAGTTTAGTCGCATTCTCTAGCCGGATGTTTGTCTTGATTTACAGTCTAGCCCCTTTTTTCCGCATTTGATTTATCATTGTCTTTTTTTTACATTAGGCTCCCAGCTGATTTCGGAGCTTCGTGTCTGTCAGTCCCGTTTTCTCCTCTTGCTGTAGGGTTATCATGTCTAAGCAATCTCTGCTACCCTGGTTTTTGGAAACCAGGATAGCAAATACCAGCTGAAACAAACGAAAGAATTCGAGAGAGAGGAGTGTTCAACGGAGGGTCGGGGCGCCGACGGCCTCGGAACGGCTTCGAAAAGGGTGAGAGAGGGTGATAAAAAAATAGTTCCTCCCCCCCCCCCCCCCCCCCCCCGTTTTCCCCACGCCGTCACTAATCTCTCTGAATCTCTGCTTCTTGAGGGAAGAGGACTCGGCGTCCTTGAGGGAGGAGGACACTGCGCATTCCTACGTTAACAGTGCCGTGGAAGCTACGTGCCGGCCTGACCGGTCATCACCTGCACCGCTCTCTGCGCGTGGTTACGGGAGAGAGCGTGATCACGTGATTAAGCATGGACCTGCGATTAAGTCACCGAGCTTCTTGGCTTCCTCTACACTCTCAGCTTAGGGGTGATGGAGTTCAGACCGCGAAACACACGCACACCCACGCACACAGAAAGTGGGATCGCGTGCACCAAGGCCACACGATAAGGTAGTGACTGGAAGACGGTGGGGACGGTCTCCTCAATTTCCAACACGCGCATCCGCGACCTGCAAGTTGGCAGATGCGCTTCGCAATTCATGCATGCTTTTTTTGTTGTTGTTTTTTGTGGCAGAAATAGCTCTTTTCTCCAAGGCACAAGAACGGCAAGATAATCATGCGGATATCAGGACATGGCAAAATTACTTTCAAAAAGTAATTAAATTACATATCTAATTACTTTTCTGAAAACTACAAACATGTCATAAATTACATTACAAATTACCGAGGACTAAAGGTAATGACATTACACTACAATTACTTTCCAAAAGTAATGAAATTACTTTGAAATTACTTTGACATTACTTTTAAATACCTTGAGGCAGTACTTCGTGCCTATTTTATTGACCGTATACACCAACACAGTGTTTACAAACAAGCCCTCGTTTGCCCCCACAGGGTGTGGGTACTGCACAGTGTTCACAAACGAGGAGCTGCGTATTCGCAGTATTAACAGCAGCGCCACCGCAGTTATGTGACGTCAGAGCTGAGTTTGTCTATATGTACCGGAACTCAGATCTTCCTGTTTACACCGTATCAGCCTTATGCGCCTCAAAGGGAACCATACTGAACAGTCGTTTTGCTGGCACACTCGACATAAGTGTCAACGATGATGAATGGCTTCTTTAGACGTGACTCAGAAAGACAGTCGACTCACCGGTTTCATTGTTCAAAACTGTGAAGGTCCTAACTCAAAGAGTGATATGTTTCCGTCTTCCTGATTTAGAAGTTATAGTTCGTGTCAGTTTGTTAAGTGGGGGAATGGCAGCTCGTTCTTAGAAGGAGTCGTCAGGTGAAACGTTTCCCTTTTGCCTCGAACGCAATCTAATCCTACTCACCCAGTGGCACTAGCTGACGTATTCCCTGTCATCCCTATCAAGGAGCATTTTTCTCCAACATCCGAAGAGCCCAAGTTTTTGCGCATTGTCAAATAAAGGGCCTGGATAATTGCTAAGCAGAAGCGTAGCTCGTTGAAGAATGGCGCGAGCTTCCTAAATTGTGTACTTTCCCAACAAACGTGGTGCGATATCTGCTCGTAGGCTTATTCCCGAATAAACTTCCCAAGGGAAGGCCGCGAGGCGTAGCGCAAGCGGCACCTGCTTTGCTCGCGGACTTACGAACGTTCTGGTATCTTGCCAAGGCATTTGGAATTACCTATTCATTCCGGTCGTTTGAAGTTCACAATGGTCGAAGCTTACGGTTTGACCTTGCTTGACGAAAGAACAAGAAGGCTGGGGATCTGTTTGTCCCTTTCTCTCAAGTTTTAAAATGTGTTGACCTCACTGGTGATGTGCCCGTCGCCTTGTAGCCTATGAACTGTTCATCCCTAAGCTGACGCATTGTCGGCTTAGGGATGAACGGTGGGAGCTTCCTGCTCGTCGGAAGAGTCACACGTCTATCTTTCGCCACTTAACCATGCTCTAGTTCGCACCCGGCGCAGAGAAAGGGACAGGTCAGGTGATCAAAGAGAGGTGTTTGATTGGTTCTGATTAGCTCGCAGCTCCCACCGCACTGTCAGCTTAGGGATGAACGAAGTATAGTATCGTCGTGATGACGCGACGCCGTAAATCTGTCGTGCCTGGTTTATTTCCTCGAGGGTCTTTGACAACATTTCACCATGCAAAATAATTTTTATCTTCTTTTTTGAAGCTTGCAAACGAACTTTCTAATTTAGGAAAAGAGTAATTTCAAAAGTAATAAGTAATTCTCTCAAAATTACAGCCTGAGAGTAATTCATAACATTATACAATTATTAGCCCAGAGAAGTAATTCATTACATTACTCATTACTGCAAAAGTAATTTATTTACTGTAATTTCATTACAGTAATGTCACTACTGCCATCTCTTGACACCGTGGTGTCCGTTTCTAAGTTGTCTGAGTGCATTTGATTGCTTAGCAGACTGTTTTTATTGGGCGAAGCGGCTCGGCATCTCCGCCATCCACGCTACCCTACACTGGAACCGGCAAGAACGGTGGTTCTAGAGTTCCGATCACCAGCAGCGC